CTGGCACAAGGGGATTTGGGGAGCAGAGCTGAGTGGCTGTGGGGCAGGCAGCAAGTGGGGAAAGGCAGCTGCAGACTGAATGCATCTCCACTCAGATGGAGCGGAGGGAGGAGGAGGGAGGAGAAGGAAGCCGCTGGAAGTACACACAGCTGTTCTGCTTCCTGGCATCCACAAGTCTGCTGTGCCCCTCGGCCTTGTCTCTAACTGGGAGAAATGAACCCAGATTCATCACCAACTGAGACCTCAGAGGCCACGAGCCCAGGTCAACCATCCCTCTCGTACGCTGTTTGTGCAGTTTGCTGACACCGAGAGGGGCAGGACCTGACGGAGGTCCTGAGGTCCCCTTCACGAGCACAAAGAGACACAGTCATTGGACAGCACTGTAAGGAGCATCATGAACGACACTGTAGGCTGGTGGGGACTCAAAGCCAGTCAGGAGGACAGACGCAAGGTGGGAAAAGAAAGGCCTGGAAACATTTTTTGCAGTGCTGGGTTAGAGCAGCTGAGCAAGTGCTTGGCACTGGGCTATGCAAAGGAGACCACGAAAGACGCACACACAAGATGGCTTCCTGCTGCTGAGAGGCGTCAGTGGGAAAGCCAGACTCCGCTATGTGATTTTTACTTTAGAACAAAATTGGATTAAAAATCCCAGCTGGGTTGCTGAGCCATGGTGCTGCACACCTTTAATCTCAGCACTGGGGAGGCAGAGGCAGGTGGATATCTCTATGTTCGAGGCCAGCCTGGCCTACAGAGTGAGTTCCAGGACAGCCAGGATTATTACATAGAGAAACCCTGTCTCAAAAAAACAAAAAACAAAAACACAAAACAAACAAACAAACAAACAAAATGCAGCTGGGCATGATGGAGCACGCCTTTAATCCCAGTACTCAGGAGGCAGAAGGACCTCTGTGATTTCGAGGCCAGCCTGGTCTACTAGTGAGTTCCAAGCCACCTAGGACTGCACAGTAAGACCGTCTCAAGAGCAAAACTCAAACTTTTCCCCCACCCTCTCCCCTACAAATACAAATACGCAGACCATCAAGATGGCTCAGTGGATAAAGACACTGCCTGCCTCCAAGCCTGACAACCTGAATCTGGTCCCTCGATCTACATGGCAGAAGGAGAGAACAACTCCTCAAGTTGTCCTGTGACCTCGACACTTATGCACACGGCTGCCACAAAGTAAATAAACAATGCAAAAGCACACAAATCCCACTGGGGTCTGTGTATGTGGCTCAGTAGAAAGGAGTGTCTGCTGTGCAGGAGCTGAGTGCCAGGACAGCAAGCTTTCTTTGTAAACTGTAATCTTCACTGAATTAAAAGAAAGCCCACTTAAAGGCCTGATATGAAGCATCTTCCAGCACAGGCCCAGGAGGCCTACGACAGCATCCCTGACAGTAAGTGTGGGCAGAAGCAGGATGTGGCTCAGAGTACCGCACCCTGGATCTCTGGGGAGCAGGAGTCAGCCTAGGCAGGTCAGTCACGGGCCAGGACTGAGGAGTGCAGGACACAGCATGCACCCACCAGGCCCAGGCAGTAGAGCAGCGTGCTTTGTTTGCACTGGACCCATAAGTTCTTTAAGACATGTAAGCCAGGGCTGGAGAGATGGCTCAGAGGTTAGAAGCACTGGCTGTTTTTCCAGAGGTCCTGAGTTCAATTCCCAGCAACCACATGGTGGCTCACAATCCTCCGTAATGAGATCTGGTGCCCTCTTCTGGCCTGCAGGGACACACGCAGGCAGAACATTGTATACATAATAAATGTTTTTTAAAAAAAAAAAGACATGTAAGCCAGCCTGTCTGCCTTCTGTCCATCCTGCCTACTTTCCATCCTTCCCTTCTGTGCTTTTTGAAGCAGGACCTCAAATTCCCTGTGGAGCAAGCATGACCTTGAACTTCCTGCCTCCACCTTCCAAGTGCTAACAAGACTGGTGTGTGACACCATGTAGCTTATGTGGTGTTGGAGACAGACCCTAGGCAAGAAGTCTACAAACTGAGCTCCTGCTCTAGCCCAAAGTGCACATTTCCAACTGGACTCCACTGCAGGACCAGGAACAGACCCAGGTCTCCTGCACCCAGCAACCACTCAACTGCATTTTCAGTCAGACCATGACACAGCTCTCCAGCAAGCGGGAGGAAGCCCAACAGTGCCAGGCTTGGTCCTAGGAACGCATGGGAGATCTCACATGGCCTCTGGAACAGCCCAGGAGTGCACCATCGAGGCCTTCTACCACAGGACAGAGCTCCCTCAGCAGCTGGGGCTCTTCAGGGCTGGTTTCTGGGCTTTTCTCAGACAACCTGTGAGGCACATGCCCAAATGTTGTTGGTGTACCCAGTCTCTGTGTGAGGGCCAATGGAAAAGAGGGCGAGGCTTCCCTGATCTAGGTGAAGGCTAACCCAAAGGAACCCATCCTGTCTGCTCAGTGTGTGGCTGTGGGATGTGGGGGTCCAAGGCACGTACCACAGGTCAGGGTTGTCGGTGCTGTTCTCTATGCTGAACTGCTCAATTTCGGGGCCCACCTGAGCCACAAATTTGGCCAGCTTCTCAGCGGTCTCCATGGTCTTCCGATCCACTACAAAACAGAAAGCAGTGGTTGTGGCTCTTTAGACCGACTCAAGCTACTTAACCTTGGTCCTTCCCTGCACCATGTGACTCTGGAGTCCTCTCCTTGTTCTAAGTAGTCAACAGGCAGACTGTGGCAGAAGCACCAACAGTCCCAGGGACGCCTGGGCTGGCTGCCAGGGGAACAGGCACATGGCTGTCACCCTCATCACATCAGCCAAGAGGCTGCCAACCTGCTGCTCAGACTCTCAAAGCTCAGGTCAGCAGATACCCTGCCAGCAGCTCAGGAGCCAAGAAACATGGCTCAGGCACTGTGTAGTCTGCGCATGTTCCCGCTGCAAGCTAGATGGGAGCACTGGGCAGAGTGACACTAGGCATCCAAGGAAACACCATGTGGGCTTGGCTGCATGGACCCTGCACCTGGAGATTGGTCCAGGCCAGGCTGAAAACACCTGCAACGGCCTCGGGGTACAGCTTGGGGGTGAGTGAGTGCCTAGCAGGCCTGTGGCCCTGCAGTCAATGGCCAGCACTGCTGAACCCAGACAGACCAATGAAGCCACTTAAAAAGCAACTGCCTCTGTCCATACTTTACATTCTCAACACCCCCTAAATAATACACGAATAAATACTCCTGCAGATCTATTGTTGTTGATATTATTATTATTATTATTATTATTATTATTATTATTATTATTGTAAGAGACAAGGTCTTACATAGGTGAGGGTGACCTTGAAGCCCAGGTCCTCCTGCCTCTACCTTCTAAGTGTTGGGGTGACAGGTGTACTCCACAACAGCCAGCTTCATGTAGCATGGGTGTTGTGTTAGATGCTGTAAGCTATCCAAACAAGATGAAAATGTAGTAGAGGCCAGACACAGGGACAAGGACAGAGCAGGTCAATGGCTCAAGTTCCAGCCTAGTCCCAGCTATACAATGTGTGCAGGACAACCAGGACTAGAGAGCAAGACCCTACTATCTCAAACAAAGTAAGCTCTTGCAGGCCATGGTGGTGCACACCTTTAATCTCAGCACTTGAAAGCAGAGCAGGCAGACTCTGTGAGTCTGAAGCCAGCCTGGTCTACATAGTGAGGTGCAGACCTATATGGAGAGATCCTGTCTCAAACCTCTCACAACCACATCCAAGACAAGCAAAGCATCAGGAGGGCGTGTGCAGGTTCTCTGAAAACTGTGTCCTTTTCCACAAGACTTCTGCCTCAGTGGACTCTGGCACATGTGAGGGTAAGGATGGTATGGCGGAGGCCCAGCAAGGACCCAGGTCAGCTGGATCATCAAGAGTGGGGGGTTCAGGAGGAACATGAAGGACAGTGTGGCCATGTACCCATCCTATCCAAGTTCTTTTGGCTACTCCAGCCTGCCACCTGGCCTAGACTGCTGAGCACCTGGTACCCCGACTCCCACCACCCCAAAGGACCCAAATGAGCATGGTGACGGAGGGTTAGTGGTGAGCACCTACCATCAGCAGAAGGGCAGGGAGAAGAGGCTGGCAGGGCTTCCGAGTCTTCCCCTGCTGTTGGCCGAGGAGACGGACCCAAGGCTCCAGGGCTGGAGGACTGAGGACAGGGTTTGGCAGGCTCTGGTGGGCAGTCCTGGGCAGCGTCACTTGAGTCCCTTGGTGGTGGCTTTACCTGCAAGGAGCCTGCAGCCTGGCGGCCGTGGTGTCTCTGCCGAGGGCTTGAGGACAGGGATGTGTGCTGGGCAGTGGCAGCTTTCTTGGCCTTCAGGCCTCGAGGACCCTGGGAGCGCAGCAGCCGCCTGCGCTGCCATGGGAGGAGCCTGCGCTTGAGACTGCGCACAGCTTGTGCATACAGCATGGCGCGCACTGCACACTGTGCTGGCGTTGGCCTCCGCTCCACGATGGGCCAGCTGTGGTTCAGCCGCTGTGACTCGGCCAGCTTCAGCTTGTAGTATTTATACTCCAGGCTGCTCTCATCAGACAGAAACCTGCCGAGCAGACACAAGGCAGGGCAGCACTGTGAGGGCAGTAGCACTGGGAGGGCAGCACTGTGAGGGCAGTAGCACTGGGAGGGCAGCACTGTGAGGGCAGTAGCACTGGGAGGGCAGCACTGTGAGGGCAGTAGCACTGGGCTCCGCAAGGCACAGCTGCCCTCCTAAGACTGCCCTCTGCTGTCCAGGTGCCCAAGAAAGTCAGCTTTGATCCAGCTGGGCAGGAGGCTTATTCTTAATCCTAGCGATGGGGAGGTTGGAGCAGGAGGACTGCAGAGAATTGGAGGCCAGCCTAGACTACAAAAGGAGCCGTTATCTTTTTGTTTGTAGCCCCGGCTGTCCTGGAACTCACTATGTAGAAAAGGCTGTCCTCAAACTCCGAGATCCACCATCCTCTGCCTCTAGAGTGTTGAGATTAAAGGTGTGCAAGCAAGAATTGGTTGGATCCTTTGTCAGCTTTGGTCACAGAAGGTGCTCAGAGTTCTGCATCCTGATCCGCAGGCAGCAGGAAGAGACAGCCACTGGGACTGGCTTGGGATTTTGAGACCTCAAGGCCCACCCTAGTGACACACCCCAATCCTTCCCAAGCAGTGCCACTCCCTGCTGACTCAGCGTTTCTCTTTCTATAGTGTGACACGGGGATAGGACCCGTGGTGGCCTCACATGCTGGGCAAATAAGCCACACTCAAGCTTGGTATTTTTTGTTTGTTTTGTTTTTTTGACAGACTCTCACTCTCCTCAAGGCTTGTTCAGACTTACAATGTAGCCAGAGCTGGCCTTCAAGTCTGGCTGTCTTCCTGCTTTAGCCTCTCTAGTCCTTGGGGGGGGGGGGGGAGGAGCACACACAGGTGTCTAGCCCATGCTTCTCTTTCTTCTTGGTGGCTCTTTCTCTAACACCATGTCTGTCTACATGCCACCATGCCTCCTGCCATGACAATGGACTAAACCCCTGAAACTTTAAGCCAGCCCCAAGTAAATATTTTCTTTTATAAAAGTTGGTATGGTCATGGTGTCTCTCCACAGCAATAGAACACTAAGACAGAAGTTGGTACCAGGAGTGGGGTACTGATGTGACAGCCTGGAGATGCTGCTTGTTGGTGGAACAAGGACTTTGGATTAGGAAAACAACTGAATGCTTTGAAGTGGGATTTAATGAGCCATACTAGTAGAAGCATAGAAGACAGTGGTGCTGACAGCAGTGTAGATTACAAAGGTCTGCTGGCTCAAGTGGTTTCAGAGGAGAAGAATATAATTAGTAAGTGGCCTACAGACTGGTCTTGTGATATTTTGGTGAAGAATGTGGTTGTTTTCTGCCCTTGTCAAAAAAATCTGTCTGACAGAGCGAGGTAGATCTCTGTGAGATTGAGTCTGGTCTACAGAGCCTGGTCTACAGAGCGAGATCCAGGACAGGCACCAAAACTCCACAGAGAGCCGGGCGGTGGTGGCGCATGCCTTTAATCCCAGCACTCGGGAGGCAGAGCCAGGCAGATCTCTGTGAGTTCGAGGCCAGCCTGGTCTACAGAGTGAGATCCAGGAAAGACACAAAGCTACACAGAGAAACCCTGTCTCAAGGGGGGGGAAAATTCTGCCTGAGGCTAAACTAAAGAGTTTTGGATTAATGGCTTTGGCAGAGGAGATTTCAAGATAGCCTAGTATTGACTGTGTTGTGTGTTTATTAGTGGTCACTCTTATGCAGATCTATAATGAAAATGAGTAATCTGAGCAAGGGAAAAAAATGCAAACTGTACAGTTGGAGGAGAAAAAGAGCACCAGGAAGTGTAACAGAGCTAAGTCCTGTGTTCAAAGGGAGTGGTGACCTCATGGTAAGACCTGACCCAGCTAAGCTTCCAATCTGTGACACAGAATTGAAGACAAGTTTAGGTTTGGTTGTAACATTGCTGGGGAGGCAGAGGCAAGTGGATTTCTGAGTTTGAGGCTAGCCTGGTCTACAGAGTGAGCCAGGACAGTCACATATAGGCAGTGAAGGAAACCACCTTATCAAAAGGAATTAAAGAAACGTTTAAGCGGTGGAGGACACCACTGAAAACAGAAAGCCGACGAAAAGCGTATTTGAACCAGGGAGCCATGTCCCAGTTCCAGCAAGCAGATACTTGGCAGTTTCAGCCACATGGTTCTGGCCTTAGAGTCAAGGATACATGAAAGGGATTGTGGAATCTCCCTCCACGGCTAGGGAAAGCCACTGAGGCCAGGCATGTGTCAGGGGTGTTCCTGCATGGAGGTCCAGAGAGGTCACTGAGTGACTTGGTTCTGGGACATTAGCAGCAGTTCCTGTCTCATGGTTCCGGTGCTTTCTCCACTTGAGAGCGCCCACTGTGCATGCACAGGCCTACACTAAATTTCCTCTCTCATCAGCCTGCTTGTCCAGATGGGTACCTCACCTTCACAGTGGCTCCCCTAAATCTTAGCTTTCTCAATCAATGCCTATTTCTGATCTTCCATTTGACCCTGTCCTCCAGCACACACAAGACCAACAATGGATTCTCTTGTGGTGACCATCAGCTGCTGGGCTAGGCCCAGTGTCCCTGTGGCAGAGGCAGTCCTCTCAGGACCATGTCCCTCCAGGGAAGTCACCCCTAGGCCTCTATACCTGGATGCCTTCTTACCACATGGTCTCTGCTTCCCTCACCAGTCTAAGGTTGTGTGGCCCCCTGCCCTGCTTAGCACTGGCTGAAGCTGGAGGCCCTGTATTTCATTTCTGCTCCAGCTCATTTCAGCTGTGCGTCCCGCAAGCACAATGCTTCTATACGTAAAGCAAGGATGGCCACAGACCAGCTCACAGGCAGCAGCCAGTGTAGAGTCAACAGTATGCTCAAAATCCCACTGAGCATACAGACAGCTACCAGACTGAGGCAGGAGGATCCTTCCAGCCCAGGAATCTGGGCAGAGCTTAGGCCAAAATGTAAGACCCCATCTCTTATAATTAAAAAATAAATGACAAACAAAATCAGGGAGGGGTGGGTGGAGAGATGGTTAAGAGCACTTGCTGTTCTTGCAGTAGATCAGGTTTGACTCCCAGCACCCACAGAGTGGCTCACAACCATCTATGACTCCAATTCCCGGGGATCCAGTGCTGCTTTCTGACCTCTTCAGGCATCAGGCATGTGGTACACAGCCACACATGCAGGCAAACTACTCTTTAGCCTCTTGCTTTGTTTTTACAGAGTTCTGTAGTCCAGGCTGGCTGCCAGTTCTGATCTTCCTGCCTCCCAGGGCTGTGGTACTCCTTAAGATGGGGTACCATACTCCCCTGGGGCACTGTCTCTCTGCACCCTAGGACAATCCAGCAGGGAGGGTGAGTGGTGCTCAACAGCTCTTGCCAAACATATAACAAAGGCTGGAGAGTTAGCTCAGCTGTACTTGCTGTTCTTCTAGAGGACCCAGCTTCAATTCCCAGCATACAATTCAAAATGGCACTTTAAAACTGTCTCTGACTCCAGTGCCTTGGTATCTGACCTTCTCTCTGGCCTCCTCAGACATTGGATGAACATGGTATACAGATATACATGCAGGCAAAACACATAATACAATCATTTTTTAAATAAGAACATGTCATCTAAAAAGACAAAACAAGCGTGCTCACCAGTAAGCAGGGTCCTGCAGGAGGAGTGTCCTCTCTCGAGGAGACAGCCTGCCTTGGATGACACGCATGACAAGCTGGTCAATGGTGTCCACCACCCTGTGATCCGCCCGCTGGGGGACTGCTGCGATACACAGAATGGATACTATGAAAATCAGTGGACCTCAAAGGCCTGGAGACCAGGACAGTGAACTGGAGGGCAGCATAAGACCCCAAGCCATCAGCAACTGGAACAATCATGGGACACTGATGTTAAAGAGGGAAACCTGGTTGAAACAGAAAATGTCCTTGTGAAGATGTCCCACCTCAGCCGTAAGCAGTGAGAGTCACTTGGCTGCACAGAGAACTAGGTATAGACTCAGAAAGGAGCTGCTAAGTGTTGATCCACCACCACCGCACACAAGCTTACCTGAGTTACCCAGCATACAGGGAAGCTGAGGTAGGGAATTGGAAGCTTGAGGCCAGCTAGCCTAGGTTACACATCAAGGCCCCATCTTACAAAAAAATAAATAAATAAAAAAGGAGGGGCTACAGAAGTTAATGGTGCTTGCTGGTACTCACGAGGACCAGAGCTTGGATTCCAGCACCCAAGCAATAAGCCAGTCTCCTCGCACACCTGTAACCTCAGTTCAATGATCTGATACCCACTTCGGCTTCTGTTCTCATATAGTCAGACATATGGACACACCAATGAAAAATTAAATCTTTCTGGGTAGGGTTGCACACATCTTTGAACCCAGCACAGAGGCAGAGGCAGGTGGATCTCTCTGAATTTGAGACCAGCCTGGTTACACAGTGAGTTCCAGGTCAGTTGGGGCCACATAAAAGACTCTTTAAAAAAGAAAAAAAATCAAGCAGGCAGTGGTGCTGTACACCTTTAATCAGAGGGGAGGCAGAAGCAGGTGGATCTCTGAGTTCCAGGCCAGCCTACAAAGAGAATTCTAGGACAGTCAAGGCTACACAGAGAAACACTGTCTTGAAAAAGCGCGCGCGCGCACACACACACACACACACACACACACACACACACACAAAACAACCTAAAAAGAGAGCAGAGCAGGTAGCTGCACTCTCAGGTCAGCGCGTCTGCCGCGGCAGCGCCTGGGTCCCCGGCTGGAGGGGGAGCTCAAGACCTTGGACCCTTCCTCCTCTACCCACAGCACCCGGCCCTTGCTACCCCATCCCCTCTGGCACTAGGGACCAGGGAGGAAACGCACTCAGCCTGCTTCTGGAAGAACCCTTCTTACAAGTAGCTGTGCCAGTCATCTGGGTTGGGACGTGTGCTGCCAGCCTGGTGCAATGAGGCCTCCATCAAGGGAGGGCAGGCAGTGGTAAAGTGACACTCCCTGGACTGGAGGTAATGTCACGGGAGAGAAAAGACGGGTGCCATGTCCTCGGGTACTGGGAAGGCTGGGTGTGAGAGACAGCACGCATGCTGGGAGCACGGGAGAGGGAGACCAAGCAGCTTCCCACCCTACTTCTGGACAACGCCAGAGCGGCTGCTGACCGTGAATCAGGTGAAAGGCACCAGCACCACCCGAATGACTCAGCTGGTCCCTGACATCCATCAGCACTCTGACCACCCTTCCCAACCCCTGGGCACAGGATCAACTAGGTCTTGGTGTCCCGTTTTCTCTGCCTTTGGTGACACCTAGTGACAAGGTACTTCAGAACATGGCATCCTAATCTTGATCCTATGGTGAAAGGGGTCGTTCATTGTTCCTAGTGAGGGCCAGCCAGCCCTCCATCTGATTCCCAAAGAATCCTAAGGCTGGGAACTGGGGCTTAGTGGGTACAGTACTTGCCTAGCAGGCACAAAGCCCTGGGCTCCATCCCCAGGACCTCAGGAAGCAGGGGAGGTAAGTACACACTTGTCATCTGGGCACTCAAAAGTGGAGGCAGAAAGATCAGAAGTTCAAGGCCAGCCTGGGCTACATGAGACTCTGACTCAAAATCAAGGGTAAAAATTGGGTCTTTGAGTTCTAGTCTCTAGAGGGGCTGGAGCGATGGCTTAGCAGTTAAGAACACATGCTGCTCTTGCAAAGGACCCAAGTTCTGTTCCCAGCACCCATGTTGTGCAGCACCAGCATCTTCTGACCTCTACCAGTTCCTGCACATATATAGTGTACATAGTCAGGGAAGCAAGCATGCACGCGCGCGCGCACACACACACACTAAATCACAAAGAGAGGTTCTAGATGGACAACATCTGTTCCCTTGCAACAATGAGGACCTGTGTTTGATCTCAGGTCTGATATAAAATGCCGTGTGTGGTCATACATGCATATGCCAAAGCAAGGAAGGTGGAAAGAGGTCTTCTGGGCCTTGCTGGCCAGCCTGTCTAGCCTAATTAGTAAACTTCAGGTTCAGTGAGACCCTGTCTGAAAGGTGGTAGACAGTCTTCCTGAAGAACACCTGAGGCTGTCTTCTAGTCTTTACACACACATACATGCACCTACACACACATATATGCACACACATTTTTAAAAAAACCTCAGGACAGCAAGATGGTTCAGTGGGTCCAAGTGCTTAAAGCCAGGCCTGATGACTGAAGTTCCATCCCTAGGATCCATGTGGTAGAAGGAAAGAACTGATTCCCACAAGCTGTCCTCTGATGACCTCTAAACATGTGCCCTGACACTCATGTATCCATCCACCCAAACACACACACACACACACACACACACACACACACACACACACACAGAACAAAAATACTTTAACAATGGTAATGATGACACTGTTTAAAAAAAGAAACCTTACCTTGGCTCAGAGTGCTTGCAGCCCAGGGCTGAGATGTGGTTTTCTGTTCTCTGGGCTCTGCAGGCACAGCCCTCTTGACCTGGAGAGGATAGCCGCTGGCCATGAGCCAGGCCTTCAGGTGGTCTATGTATTCCCTTCCAAACAAAGTGGAGTCCTCAAAGTTTGGGAAAGAAGCAGGAGATGGAGCAATGTCTTGGAGGCCCACAGCCTCTAGGATCTTCTCCTGCCTGAAGGAGGAGGCCAAGGAAAAGGTCTGGCCTAAGAGTGCCAGAGACTTCCTACACAGAGAGTTGGTGGTCTCCAGGGCCACAGCCAGGTCCAACGGGCTAGTGAGGGTCTTCATCTTGACACTCAGCTCGTAGGCATTACAGGCCATGAGCAGGGGCGTGACGCCCTTCAGCAGCCTGTCCTGGAGCCTCATGATGTACTTGTCGAAGGGCTTGATGATCTCAAAGAAGCAGTTTTTGGTCTTCACAGCACCTTTGTCTAAAAGCATGTTTAAAAACTCATTATCGACTCGGGGTGTTTTCAGAGCAGAGTGCTTTAAAAACTTGATAGTAAAAAAGCAGAAATCTCTGTGCTCCGGTTTCAAGGAGCATTTGAAGGAGGCCAGCATCTTGGCACAGGTCTCAGTTTCCAGTTCAAAGAGAGTCTGGAAGAGCTGGGAGAACTTGAGGTCATCCTTAATGGTGTGGAACCCCGCCCACTTGATAATTTCTATGCCAAACCTTGAGAACACATCTGCCTTGTCCATGGCATCAAAGCCCAGCTTCCTTCTGGGGAAGCTGAGGGTCCTCAGGTCCAGGCCCAAGGGGATCTTTAGAGCAGCGAACTGGATTTCATCCAGCCCTGGATTTGTTCCTAGGGTCACATCAGGACTTGGGGTGGCTTTCTGGATTTGGTTAGTACCCTGAGGTTTGGAAGTAATACGACTGACAACAGGTATTTTCTTCGTGGTCATGCTTTTCAGTGTGATAAGCTTCCCGACACCCTTTGCTGCAAGCAGGCCCTGAGTGTCCCCCTTTCCTAGGAGAGTGCCTTCCTGGTCAGCCATGTTAAGAGACCGGCCTCTGGCCAGGACTTGCCCACTGCCTCTAGACACAGAGTCTACCTCGCCATGATGGTCCAGGTCATAATCCCGACTCTCCTTCTCCAACCGCCTGGAGGAGGCCAAGTCCCCCAACACTGAAGACCCAAAACCATATTCCTGTGACCAGGAGGATTCTTGAGAAACTGGGTGGCCCAAGTCTTGCTCCCAAGAGCCACGGAGTGCAAGCTTCCAGTCCTGAGAAGGAAAATGTCCCAGTTTCCGGTGGCCAAAACTCTGGTCCCGGGAGTCAGTGTGGGCCACTTCCAGATCCCGGCCACATTCTTTTCGAAGATAGCTGTCCTCACCAACGGACTGATTGCTGGATCTGAAGGTGGGTCCCGCAAACATGTCACCTCTCAGGCTCTCTCTTCCCAAGTCTAGTGAGTACACTCCAGATCCACTAGTGGAGTACCTGTTATCACTGTGAATGTCCTCAAAGACATCTGCTCTGGCTCTCGAGCCTGTCCTTAAGAGATCTGAAATAGATGGCCACAGACAGACAGAAGGCACTTTAGAACATGGGCTGCAAGGAAATGGCCCCCACACTAGCCAACACAAGTGCTTTATACTCCCAAGTGTGAGGTACAAACGACTGCTGCTGCTAACACTGTTTAAAAAGGTAAAGAGACAGCAGGATGGCTTAGTGAATAAAGTGCTTGCCATGCAAGAGTGAGGACAGGAAACCAGATCCCCAGAATCCACAGTAAAACCAAGCAGGCGTGGTTGCCTGAAATCCCATGTTGAGGAGGTGGGGACATGGGATCCCCAAGACAAGCTAACCAGTTAGAGCTGAAATCGGTGACTCCAGGTTCAGCAAGAGACCAGAAAGTGGAGAATGAGCGCCTGGGGAAGACACCTGCACACACTGCACACAGGGAACACAGATGCACTCAGGCACCACACACACACACACTCTCTCTCTCTCTCTCTCTCTCTCTCTCTCTCTCTCTCTCTCTCTCTCTCAAGGAAATGCGTGTGGTGCTATCTCCAGCCCTCCACCAGGCGGTCTGCACTGGCCCACTGAGAACTGCCGCCAGGCACTCAACCAAGAGTCGCAGCCCCTGGAAAACCTGCCCCTGCGCTCACCTGCAGCTCCCCTGCAGCTCCCCAGCATTCTCCCTTCTACAGCAGCATGGAGACTGCTGCCACAATACTCAGTGCTTGCTGCATTTGGGGGGTTCGAAATGCATGGAAGACGCGCACACCTCCATGCTGCGCAGACGCCACCATGCCGTCACACGAGGGGGTATCTTCCGAGCTTGCACTATAGGGCGGGAGCCTCACGTCCTACGGGTTCTGAGAGGTGATCACAATTACCAGGCTTGTGCTTGCCCTTGTGACCATCTGCCAAGGCAGGGTAGCGGGTTACCCAACAGACACACCCTAACATCGGACACAGGCCCCCAACTCACCACCAGACACTACCCTCACCATCACTCCACCCTCCCGTTAGAGAAGGGACTTAGTTTCCATGCAGCCACACCCAGCCCACTTCAGGGTGTCCACTTCTGTCCACTTGTGCCGCTCTCACTGCCTCCTGGAGGACTTCACGTCCCACACTGCGACTGGGAGGCAGCAGCCTTGGCCCACGCCACACCCACCACAGCTGAGCAGGCAACAACCTGGCACCCGACCCCAATGTGGTGGAAAGGCCCGCGTGGTCCCTGGCTCTGCCTCTAGGGCTGAAGCAGACAGAGCAGGCGGGAGTAGAAGCAGCTGCACTAAGCGGGGCTAGGGCAGAGTGGAGAGTCATCGGGACGGGACGCTGCACAGAGAGTGCTGCAGGCCCTTTGTGCACAGAGGCTGCAAGACGCTGCCCAAGACGCCATCATGGCGGCAGCAGGCCTCGGGCAGCTTTCTCACAGCTGGATTTTTAAACAAAATCTAAAAAGGGGGGCGGGGGAATCAGACAAAAAGAGACTCAGGTCTGGTAACAAACACCAAGAAGTCCAGCATTCGGGAGATGAGGGAGGAGGACTGGGAGGTCAAGGCCAGCCTGGACTACACAGCAAGTCTGAGGCCGGTCCGGGTCACAGAATGAAGGGCCTGTCTGCACAAGCAGGACTGAGTCACACCCCAGGACCCACTTAACACCTCAGCACAAGACCATAACCCCAGGGCTGGGGAGGTAGAGGCAGCAGGGAGGTCTCGGGGCCGCCGGCCAGCTAATCTAACCACATCAGCAAGCTCCAAATGTCTCCAAAGCAAGGTGAGGCTGGAGATGGCTCAGTGGTAAGAGCACTTGCTGCTTTTGCAGAGGACCTGGGTTCAGGTCCTGGAACCCACATTAGAAAGCTCACAACTGTCTGCAACTCCAGCTCAAGAAAGCTGATGCCCTCTTCTGGCACTCAGAGTAACTCTCTTGTCCCTCAGGTGCACATGCTCACACACAGACCCACAAACCTGTAATTTAAAAATAAATATTTAAAAAGTAAAGCAAAGTGGCAAGTGATTAAGGAAGACACCAGATGTCAACCTTTGGTTACCACACATGCCTGTGCACTCCTACACAAACACACACAAATATGAACACCTGCATACGACACCACCACCCCAGGAAAAAAAAAAAGGCAAGAAAAGGGACAGGTACCAAGAAGCAGAAAAATGGAAGAAAACACAAAAATCCATACTCGTGGGCAAATACAAGTTCCCCTCTACAGTCAAGACTTACTGAGCACCTACTTTGTACACACTGGGCACTGTCATCACCGAGGGAAGGAGATAGATCAGTAGCAGAGCCCGTTCCGCCCATTTCTGGCCCTGGGTTAGGAAAACAGCACACACATCCCCACCCATGCACACCCACAGACGCACTGGGGAAGGTGGGTGCCGAGAGGGGCACTGCACTGGGGGAAACACAGGCACAGTGGGGGATGCCATCCTCAGAGACTCTCACCACGTGTGAAGTGGCAGCGCCTGGTGCTCAAGGGCTGCTGCTAAGGGGAGGGTGGAGGGGTGGGGTGGGTGGGGGGCAGACATGAATTTCCACCAGCAAGAAACAAACTGGAATCCTTGGCCCTGACTGTGGTCCTGGTGCAGTCAAGGCGGCAGAGCCAAGAGGCAGGAACGATGGCTGTATCGTACATGTCCCATGCCCTGATTTACAGAAAAGAGCCATGTACAGTGTAGAGCAGAAGCCTAAGGACAGCTGAGAGGCCATACAGCTTTGTTCCAGAACCACCCAGATGCTGTAAGGTTTACTGTTTCTCCACCAATCAATTTTCCTTTGTTTCTTTTTGAGGCAGGGTCTCCTTATATAGCCCAAACTGGCCTCAAACCCACAGGAATCCTGCCTCAGGCTCCTCAGTATGTACCACAACACAATGCCTCACCAGCCTTCTTGAGGAAATTACGATGTGATGTGTGGAGGCTGGGGAGATGGTTCAGTACAAGCAAGAGGACCCAAGTTCAAGTTCCTACCACCCATAAAAAGCCAGGCATGGCTGTACATAGCTGCAACCCCAGCACTGAGAGACAGAGCCTTGAAAGGGGGACAGTCTTAAAAGCTACAAAGCTTACACTAGAGAACTAATCAACCTAAAATCTCCTCTGTTTTTGTAACAATGACAAATCTTAACGTTTTCAGTAAGTTTATGAGTTTGTGTTGGACTACATCTATAGTGATCCACAAGCTGTGGTTTAGATATGCCTGCAAGAACTAAGATTCCAGTCCCAGCCAATTTGCTGGAGACGAGGCAGAGTGTTAAAGGGGGACAGCTGTTGAGATGGCTCAGGGAGTCAAGGCACTTGCCCCAAGCCTGAAGGACAACTGAGTTTGACCCTGGAACCCAGTCAACTTTTGTAAGCTGTCCTCTGACCTCTGCATGCAAATGCATGTGTACACACGCGCACACACACACACACACACACACACGCAGGAACCCTTCTGTAGAGGCTAGTGGCAGAGTACGTATGTTAGCATGAGTAAGGCTTGGATTATCCCCAACACCAACACTCTCAAAGTCTTCCGTGGCAGGGCATCTGGCTGACGTGCTCTATGTACCAGAAATAGCACCTCCTGCACACTGATTTAACTGGCAGGTGGGCCACAAGAAAGTAATCTCCTCCCGACAAATCCAGCAAAGATCAGAGTAGCTTGGCTTGCACCCAGAGCATTATAATCCAATGTGGCCCTCCTAAGCATCTTAACTTACCTTGAGCTTTAAGCTGGAGAGCTTCGCCAACAGCTTCAGAATCCCCATACCGTTTAGATTTCTCCTGTAATACGGTGTCCAAAGATTCCTGTGCCATCCGCCTTGCCGCCATGTTTCTCTCTCCTACAGTGAGAGAAGCCACACTAATCAAGACAGCTTGCCCCAGGGCAAAAACCACTACCAAAAAAGGGTAACAGAACTGGAAGAATGGCCTGGAAAAAAGGTATTTGGGAAAAGTGTGACCACCCAGACTTCCGTTTGGAAAAGGGCTTCCCAGAGCTCACTTCACCCTGAGAACCCTCTGGATGAGTGAATGACATTTTCACAAGGGGACGATGCGCTACAACTTTGCACTCTGAGCTAGTCTTAGTACAAGAGCTCCGAGTCTTTCAGGACAGAAGGAGCTGGGTGTGGTCCTGCAGGCCACTGATGCCAGCACTTACGAGGCTGAGGCAATGGGATGTCCAGATCCAGGCCAGCCAAGACTACACAGTGAGAACCCGCAAAAAGGGCTGAGGGACTGGAGAGGCAGCTCAGTGGTTAAGAGTGTCTGCCCACGTTGGGCACCCAACAATTACATACAACTCCAGTTCTAGGGGATCTGACAACCTCGTTTGGCTTCCACCTACCCACCTGCCTCTACCCAGCACGATAAATAAAATCTTTTTAAAAAGGGGGGAGGGGTGGAACTGAGATGGTTCAGTAAGGGGCCAAGCCTGACGGCCTGAGTGCAACCTGTCACCTGACGAGTTGTCTTCCGATTTCTACCCATGTCTGGCAAACAGGTACCCAGAAATACACAAAATTAGGAGAAAAAAGTGGGGCACAAGGACACATGTACCTGTAATCTCAGTGCTGAGTTAGAGGAGTAAGGAGGATCCCTGGAGCTTGGTGGCCAGTCAGACTAGCCAATCCATATGCGGACGTCAACTTCTGCCCTCCCCCCCCCCAAGAAAAGACCTAGTGGTATGCATGTGTAACCCCCAATATTTGGAAGGCTGAGCAACAGGGTTGCAAGTTTAAAGCCTGTGTGGGCTACCTGTTCCAGGCCAGCACATTCTACACAGCAAAACCCAGTTTTGTGTGTGCACGGTTTTCTTTTTTTGCTACTACACGAGAGTAGTCCATGCTGGCACTGGCACTGAACTCTGATCCTCCTGCTTCTGCCAAGTACTAGGATTACCGGTGTGCATTGCCGTGGAGACCCTGTCTTTTTATTTTATTTTTTACGTGTGTGTGTGTGTGTGTGTGTGTGTGTGTGTGTGTGTGTGTGTGTGAGGGTAGAGTAGAGGGGATCCAGATATGATCTACCCACATATTGTTCTCTGAATGGCCTCAAACTTAACATGTAAACTAGGCTGGCATCCAAAGTGAGTGTTCCTCCTGTCTCTGCCTCCTGAGCACTGGGATTACAGGTGTGAGCCGTCACACTCAGCTTGAGACCCTGTCTTTAAAAAAAAAAAAAAAAAGGGAAGAAAGAAAAAGACGTCAGGAGAAAAGCAGACTTCAAGAAGCGAACTTCAAGAAGCGAAGCAACCAAGGTCAGGTACCTTGTTCTGAACCAACAGGGCACTCACTGGGAATGAGGACACACTCTATAAGTAGGAAATAATAGGCAGCATTTGTATCAGTGACAGCCTGCGTCACGACACTTCCAAATTCAAGAGACAAGCCTGCCTTCTGGTCGTCTCTGTAACGATCATCCAGTTTCCCCACGCCCCCGAAAAACCACAGGGCGGCCCTTGCTGTCGCTGGGTGAGGAGCAGGGCCTCGGGGTCGGGCGGTCCTGAGATCTAACCAAGGCCCCAGTCTGTCTGCACCTCACTTTTCCCATCTATGGGATGGGCAGCCACGGAGGCTGCAGCGGCTGCCAGCAGCTGGAGGCCCGGCGCCGACCCCGTTCGCCCCCGGCCCGCCCGGCCGGCTGCGAGCTGCAGCAGAATGAATGGACGCGAGCCCGGCCGCGGAACGCGCTCGCCCCGGGGCCACCCGGGGGCCGCCCTGCCCCGGGGCCCGCCCTCCCCGGTCGCCAGGGCCCAGGCCTCACCCCGAGCGGTGCCGCCCCCGCCGCAGCCTCAGGCTCCGTACCCGCCGCCTCGAGAGGCGGGGAGATGCAAATCAGCCAACGGTTTCCGCAGCGCCGAGCTGCGCAGGCGCAAGCCGCCGCCTCGCCGCGGTGCGCAAGCGCGGGCTGCCACCGCCTAGGCCCTCACGCGCAGGCGTCGACGGCAGCCCTCGAGGCTCTCGCGCAGGCGCGCTGCTCGCTCCTTAGGGCGGAGGCTGCCGAGGTGGGGACTGTGTCCCTTTTGAGGGCAGCGATAGGCAGAAGCAGCGCGGGAGAGCGGTGAGGGCTCCAGGCCCACGTGTACTCTGTGGCTCCCTTCGCTTTACCTGCGGCCGTGGTCGCCCTTGTTGCCCCGGGAGGGAGCCTCTCGGCGGAGGGACGCCGAGGCGAGGCGGCGCCTCTGCGCTTGCGCGCATACGGTGGCCGGAAGGCGCCAAAGGCGGAGCCTCGGGCGGCAACCGCGAGCCCCCCCCTCCCCCCCCCACGTGGCCGTGTAGACCCGGTGAGGAACGCCGGCCGCCTGGTCCTGCGGTGGGAGCGGAGGGGAGTGGGCGGCGCGGGGTCGGGCTGGTGGTGTCTGCGCGACCCTCGGGGACTTGGTTTGGTGGAAGGAGAGGATCGGACTGAAGATTCTTGGGGACCAAATGCCTCGCCTCTCCGGGGTGCACGCTCCTTTCTTTGATACTGTGCATAGGTGCTGCAGCTGCGGGCTGAGTACCTGCTGCGTGTCCCGTTGCATGCTAGGCAGGAGAGCGAGGAGGACAGGGCGTGCAAGACTGTCAGTGTGGCTCTGGGCTCGGGGGACCAAGGTCCTGCTGTGGATATAATGGTGATGGAGCAGGCGTGGTTGGTGCCGCTGTCATTCCTGCTCGAGGGAGGCAGAGGCAGAAGTACCGCTATGAGTTCGAGACCGGCCTCGGCTACGCAGCCAGACCGACTTTTAGAATAAAAACGACCAAACGAAACAGCAAGAACAGGCGTCGTGGTGAGCTCGAGACGCGGAGGCAGGAAGACTCCTGCGAGTTCCATACCAGTTTGGGCTGTGTAGCCAGACCCTGCCTCAAAAACAGCAGATAAACCAGGGGTTTGTCGGAAGAGTCTGGAGGATCCGGAGTTCAAATATAGCTTTAGCTACAAAGCAAGTTAGAAGACAGTCAGCTCTACATAAGGCCCTGTCTTATAGAAAACAAAACGGAGGAAGTATTGAATGGGAGAGTGGGGCTGCTTGAACCAGTGTGTTTTTAATTTTTTTAGTTGTTTTTGTTTGTTTGTTTTTGTTTTTTGAGACAGTGTCTTACTGTGTAGATCAGGCTGGTCTGGAATTCACAGAGGTCCACCACTTCTGTCTCCAGCGTGCTGGAATTAGGTTGGCTTGTTTGTTTGTTTGTTGTTATTTTTCAAGACGTGGTTTCTCTGTAGCCCTGGCTGCCCTGGAACTTGCTCTGTAGACCAGGCTGGCCTTGAACTCAGATTAGCCTGCCTCTGGTTTACTTGTGCTTTAATAATAATAATAATAATAATAATAATAATAATAATATTTAAAGTTGTTTTTAATATTATCATTTGTGTTTATGTTATTATTTGTGTGTGTGTGTGTGTGTGTGTGTGTGTGTGTGTGTGTGTGTGTGTGTGTGCTCAAGCACCCAGGAAAGCCAGAAGAGGGTATCGGATCTCCTGTGCTGGAGTTACAGGTGTCTGAACTGCCAGATGTGTGTGCTGGAAACGGAGCTCTAGTCTTCGTGATAGAGCAACATGCCCTCTTAATCTTGAGCCTTCTCTCCAGCACCTCAGCCGCCACTCTTTCTTCCAGACAGCGTCTCCCTCTGTAGCCCAGGCTGGAGCTTGCAGTCCTCCTGCCTCGGCCTCCTCTGTGCTGGATCACAGGCGTGTACCATGAGGCTCGGCTAGCCACACATACCACAGTGCATGTGTGAATTTTAAAGTTTATTTTCATACATTCATTTACTCTGTGTGTGTGTCATATACACTGAGACCCACATGTAGAGATGAGAGGACTTGGGGGGTCAGTTCTCTCCTTTCACTGTGTAGGTTGCAGGGGTGGGCTTTTGTTTTTCTGAGACAGCCTCCTGTAGCCCAGGCTGAGCTTGAACTCTGACCCCACAGAGTCAGCGCTGAGACGACAGGTGTACCACCACACTGACCAATTGATGATTCTAGAGGAAGAGGCAGATGTCAGTTGTTACAGAGAGCACTGTCAGGAAAGCTTGATAACATTGATGATGGACTGTGTGTTAGAAAACAGCGTTCGGGCCAGGGAGGTGGCCGTCAGGTTAGAGTGCTGACCCCCAAACCTGGTGACCTGAGTTCAGCCCTCAGGACCCCGTGTGGGAGAGAACCAACAGTCACAAGTTGTTCTCTGGCCTCTGCATGTGCACACAGCAAATGCAAGCCAGCACTTACACATGGATAAAATGCAGTTTTTAAAATTTTAAATTAACTAGTATTAGAGAGCAGTCGGGCTTGGTGGCGGAACATGTTAGCATGCATGAGACCCTGGCCACTGTCCCCAGCACTGCCACATAACATTGTCATCTGTTGTATTTTGTTTACACCTTGATATATAAGTGAATGCCTTTTCCCCCATCTTTGGTGGATTGTTTATTGAGGTCAGGTTTCATGTAGCCTAGGTTAGCCTGGAACTCACTGTGTAGCCCAGGCTGGTCTTAAACTCCAGGTCCTCCTCCCTCAGCATTTCCTGTGAGGCCTCCTCAGTGTAAGCTACTGTGTAAGGCTGTCTTTGTGCCCAGTTACATAGAAACTTGTACTTAACTGTGAGGTAGGGTGAGATTCAGGGGCCAGTGAGACGGCACAGCGGGTGAAGGGGCTTGCTGCTCAGCCTGCCAACCTGAGTTCAATCCCCAGAGCCCACATGGTGGAGGGGAAGAATCGACAGCTGAATGCTGCTCTCCAGTCCCACGTCTGTGCCAGGGTTATATCTGCCCTCCCCACACAAATAATGTTGTAAGAAACAGACATGATCATTTTCTTCCTTTTCTTTTTTCTTTTAATTTAGCTGAAAGCCACGTTTGTTTTGAGATAGGGTCTCACTGTGTAGCCCCAGCAGGCCTGGACCTCTGTATGTGGACAAGGCTGTCCTGGAACTCCCAGAGACCCACCTGCCTGTGCTTCCAAGTGCTAGGGTGACAGCCTGAGTTCTGCACTTTTAGAAGCTCTGAGGAGCCAGGTGGTGGTGGCGGTGGCCCACGCCTTTAATCCCAGCACTCAGGAGGCAGAGGCAGACAGATCTCTGAGTTTGAGGCCAGCCTGGTCTATAGAGTAAGTTCCAGGACAGCCAGGGCTACACAGAGAAACCCTGTCTTGAAAAAATTAGAAAATAAGCTCTGAGAAGAGGTGAGGGTGATGTAGGTGAGAAGAGCATTTTCATGGTTGTCATTGTGGCCTGGCAGACTGCCTCAAGTGGCCTTTTCTTCTTTTTTCTTTTATGCTTTATTCATTTTATTTTGTGTGTGTGGGCCTGCAAATACCATGGCCTGAAAAAAAAGTCAGAGGACAGCTTTTGGGAGTCCATTCTCTCGACCATGTTGGTTCTTAGGATTGAGCTCAGGTCTTCAGGCTTCATAGCAAGGTCCTTTACCCGCTGAGCCATCCTACCGTCAGGTCTTGTCTTTTTCTTTTTGGCTTTTTGAGAGGGGGCCTCACTATGTAGCTCCCAGGTTGGCCTCCCGCCGTCCAGGACCCTTCTGTCTCCGCCTCTCTAGTGCCGCCGTCCAGGACCCTTCTGTCGCCGCCTCCCTAGTGCCGCTGTCCAGGCGTGCCCAGGTGGCATTTTCACCACTAGGGTAGCCAAACCCTCTGTTGCCTGCTGTCTCCTGACCAGATGTTCCTTTCCACTCGGCATGCAGAGATGGCTTCCAAGCGCATCACACAGGAAACCTTCGATGCCGCAGTGCAGGAGAACATTGAGGAGTTTGAGATGGGTGCGGAGGAGGCCGTTCGAGAAGCCGTGGAGCAGTTTGAATCACAAGGTAAGGTGGTGAGCTCAGTACTGGCTCTCAGAGGCCACAGCCCTCGGCCTGACATAACGGGGGTGCTACTGACCCCATCCCTGCCTGTGTCCGTGAATCACCAGTACCCCGCTTCACCGTAGAACCGCATGGAGGGGATAGCGTGGTAGGGCTACAGGGTGACGTGGTGGTGCTAGTCGGCTTTGGAGACTGAGCCACATGGCAAGGAGCAGGGGTTCAAGGTGAGTGTGACCACGTGTGTGCCGGGCCGCTGGTGGAGGCTGGGTGCTAGACATGAGCACACCCCATTTCCTCTCATCTCCAGCCTCAGTCTTGCTCTCCACTGGACCAGGGGGGTCAGCCGGAAGTTAAGATAGAATGTCTGCTCCAGAGCACAGAAATGGGGTGCCCTGTGGGCAGTCGGGTAGACACTGGGGCATGGCTGGAGAGGCTACTCACTCGCTGACTTGCTGAGTCTGCCCTGAGTTTGTCCCCAGAACCCACGTCAAAAAAAATGACAGAGTGTGTTTGTTTTTGTTTCTTTTCGGGGGGAGGCGCCTAGGTTTTTTTGTTTATTTGGTTTTTGGTTTGGTTTGGTTTGGTTTTTGAGACAGGATTTTTCTCTCTATATCCCTAGCTGTTCTGGAACTCACTCAGTAGACCAGGCTGCCTGACACTCACAGAGGTCCACTTGCATCTGCCTCCTGAGTGCTGGGATTAAAGCCATGCACACCAGACCACACCCACCTCCCCAGCCCCACAATGGGGTATGTTTGTAATCCTAACACTGAGAGGTGGAGACAGGTGGATTTCTGGGGCTTGCTGGCCGGCCAGTTTAGCCTAATTGGTGAGCTCCAGGTTCCAATGAGACCCTGTCTC